TTTTGGGCGGTTTTTTTAACAAACCTGAATCGGTGCTATTTCAAAGAAAAGATTTCAGGATGTCATGGAATTTTCTGGTTGAGGTGGTGGTGCCGGCACTGCTCGCGCCGCTCGTCCTGAGCAACTTGGTGATCGATTGTGGGGGGCGCGGGCGGGTGTGATTTAATAGCCCCGAAGGGATATTTTTTGGGGGGATAAAATCCAAAGTTACGGATGTGGATACGGGAATGTCTGGCCAGCATGCCCGTCGCTGCACCGTAACTTTGAAGGGGGAGATCACCCGTTGCATCTTTGGGTCCCTGTATCCCCTCGGATGCGATGGGTGATCACGGGGCACGCCGGTGAGCCTCGTCGTGTGCCCTGGGACCCTTTCTCTCTTGAGAAAGGGTGCTGAGATCTCACCATTCAGTCGGTACTGTTGGATTGTGGCTGTTGTTGCGTATTAAATCAAATTTCGTGTTCATAAGTTCCTGGTTGCTTACGGATGATTTTTTAATGTCAAGCAGTCTAGCAATTGGTGTGATATTAGACTATCATGACACTTTGTGTTGTTTCGTCATCTGGCTTGATATATTCTACTGCGCTGCTGAATCGATTTTATAGCTTCAAAACTGTCATTTTTTGTCGGTAATATGATGCCATTTTATATAGTATTGTGGCTCTTACCTATTGTTTTGCAAGGTTGCGAATTTGCACCTCGTTTAAAAGGTCTTATGCGTAGTAGGCGAGGAAGAATCCATAAATCAAAGTTGCGTCGGGATCGAAAATGGTTGCGGTTGGGATGTATTTGCGAGAGAAGGCTCCATCGTACCGTCATTCAAAATGCATTGTTTTGGCATGTTTTGGCAGTTTGATTGTGCGAAAGTTGCGGGGCGAGTGCATGCACAGTATAGTTTGGAATTCAATTCAAAGCAAACTTGATTTGTGCATAAGTATTCCCAAAAAGAATGGGCGTGCCTTCGGAAGATAGTTCGGACACTTCGGAGCTTGTTGTTTTTGTTTGTAGTTTCTTGTAGAGTATAGGCCGCGGTGAAACCCATTATATCATATCTGTCTTAATTACCAGCTAGGCGGCAACTAGTTTCTGGACATTTCCGTGTTTATTCATTAGCTTTGAGATGCAAGCAATACAAAACGAGCCTACTAAGACCACGCATTTGGGGAAACGTATTCACGTAATTAATTAAAACTGTTTAAATATAAATAAATATAAATATATATATATACATGTGTGTATCTAAAATTAATTTTAGGACACGTTCAAAGATTTTCAAGCTTCTGACCCTCTACCTGGGGAAACCAAAAATAGCTTAACGGCGACGAGATTTGGGTGCAACCAGGCGTGCATGGAACCAAATGAGGGCCAATGTATATATGTTAGATGAAACTATTCAGATTTAGTGTCAAAACCAGGTAGGGTGTCAGATGGCATGATACATAGCATAGTAGAATATACGTCAGATGGAATTCTAGATAAGATTTCAATGGCAGGTGTGGCACTTGGTGACATCGACGCGCATTTTGCGTGGCAGGCGTGGCGCTTATGGCACTGGGATGGCTCTGGTGGCGTGCTTGTGTCCCGTGGTCGCCGCGGTTGTTTGTGTGGCAGGTGTGACACTTGGCGACGTCGATCTTCATTCTCCGTGGCAGGCGTGGCGCTTGGTGACATCGACCTTCATTCTGCGTGGCAGGTGTGGCCCTTGGCGACATCGACCTTCTTTCTGCGTGGCAGGTGTGGCACGTACGGCACAGGGATGGCTCTGGTGGAGCGCTTATGTCCCGTGGTCGCCGCGGGTGTTTGCGTGGCAGGCGTGGCGCTTGGTGACATCATCGGCCTTCATTCTGCATGGCAGGCCTGGCACTTGGCGACATTGACGTGCATTCTGCGTGGCATGCTTGGCACTTAGAAGGCGCTGGGATGGTTCTGGTGGCGCGCTTGGGTCCCGTGGTCGCCGCGGTTGTTTGTGTGGCAGGTGTGACACTTGGCGACATCGACTTGTACTTTGCATGGCAGGTCTTGTGCATAGACTCCATTAGGCTGAAACACCTTTCATATTCTCAGTTTCCGGGATGCCCATAGATAGGTAGCAGAGTCTACACTTAAAACATCCCTAATTATGTTTCAAATGATATAGACTCGTGATTCGGTTCCTTATCTTAAGGGCTTGTGGATAGATTCCATTTGGCTGAAGCACCTTTCGTATTCTTTGTTTCCAGGATGCCCACAGGTAGGTGGTAGAGTCAACAGATAGAACATGTCAATTTTGTTTTAAGATATCTAGACGCGTGATAAATCGTGTTTCAGCCCCCTATCTTGAGGGCTTATGCAGTAACTCCATTTAGTATTCGACCATGTTTGAGCCCCAAATCATCCAAAATTAAACAATTTTACTATTGAAACCTATGCTTTTTAACTACCCACAGTAGGAAACCTACAAATTAGCAGAGACCTTTCCCATTGCAGCAAAGACTGTTTGGGATATTGTTCCGGAAGAAAAGGCAATGTTTTTCAGCCGCAGTGAGAGGAGAATGTGTTCTAAGTGTGGTGTTCACAATGGTATTTACCAAAGTCACTGGAAATGTTCTAAGTAATTATGTGGTCTGTTTATGTTCTAAGTATGCAAAAATCAATGGAGATGTTCTACGTATATTGTCTTTTTGATGTTCTAAGTGCATACTTAGAAGACTTTCCTATGTTCTAAGTATGTGTTTTTTTATGTCCTAAGTACGAGTTCGGATATGTTGGAAAAATGATGTTCTAAGTGCAAGTCCGTCAGTATATATATATATACATATCATAAATGATATATTATTTATACATATCATAAATGATATATATATATATACATATCATAAATGATATATATATATATATACATATCATAAATGATATATATATATATTATATATATATGATATTATATCACATATATATATATTCATGTACACATAGATTAAATTATATATACACACATGTATGACCAATATTGCCAAGAGATACTTCGCGTTGGCTTCCGACGTTCTGTGCCAAAATTTTCCGTTCCGACCTCGGGAGGACGTTCCATCTTTGTGCGGGAAGACCGAGAGCTCGAGAACTCAATGGCGAAAAACGGGGAAAGCACCCAGAATCAAACGTGGCTGGATTGAAAATCCATAGATGATTTTTTTTCGGATTTTCCATATAAATCCATATAAATATGAAGAAATGCTAGTTAGGATATCATTGGAAATTATAAGAAACTATAGAGTTTTTAATTGGGAAAATCAAGTAAATGAATGGAACAAATCCATTGCCACGTTTTATTACTGGAGGTGCATGGATGACTGGTGCTGCAACCAGTACTGTATGTTTATTGTCCAGTTGAAAACACAAACAACGGATGTAGAATAAACATGGAAAATGAAAATGCCCTCGGAAAAATCAATTCACATGGAATCTGGAATCCACAGCGAAATCATGGAGTTGGAACAACAACTAGGTTGTTTTTTAGTTGCATCGGCACCACTCTATAATTTACATGTTTATGACCAATATATATATATATCATTATATAATATTGTATTCATATTTGCTGAAATCAAACAGTCTATGATTTGTGAAAATTGTAGGATTCTGTCACTATTCATCAACATAGTATGTGACTAAAAAAAACAGCCCCCTCATCTTACCCCCTCATCTTACCCCCTTGAAAACCTGATACCTGACGTGTTCATGTGTCCCTTATTGGGGGTATTGATCACTATAGAGATGGGATTATTGTAAAACATCAATTCTCTTCCTGAAGTGGATATAATTTTGATTTTTGATAGACATTCCCACATTTTTGTGTTTTCTGGTGATCATTTCCATATTTTATCTACCCCAGGAGGACCATTATAAAACACAATTGCCATGCTCCCAGAGGCATCTGTTGAGATGTGCCTTGTCCGGCTGAGGGTTGGGCGTCCACTTCACAGCCAAGATGCAGGGTGGCCCAAGATCAATATGGGCGGTGGTACCCAGCCCATCCATTTACGTGCATACACATGATATCTATTGATATCTCTATTTCATTAATAATTATATATAATTATATATATATATGTTTATGATACTACATTTATATACATACATTAGATATATGGATGTAAATAGATGCTTACATGCATGCTTACAAGATAATCATATATGAATCATATACTATATGGACTCTATGGACACATATAGACATATATATATATAGGATAATGGATGCTCGCAAGCGTAGCAGCCATGGATGTGTCTTACCACCGGCAATGGCCTGCTTTTTCTTCACCAAAACCAGGGAGATGTTGTGTCACGTTTCAGGGAGCGCATGGAAAATTTTGCCAACATGGCTGGAACATCCGGCATTTGCTCCTTCATATGGAAATATATGGTATAGTATATATGGCTGGAAAATTCGGACATGAAAATCCGAAATAATCTTTTTCATACGGCAAAAAAAAGGCTGGAAATACGGCGTGACTTTGGTTCGCAGAAAATCACAGAACATCGTGTCGGGTGCCGAAAGAGATGATCAACTAATGTATCAATTGTGGTTTAAGCAATCAGAAACAGATGTAGTATGCATACTCCCTACATTTCCCCATTCTTCATCGGTTCCAAGAAATTGACATTTTTTAGACGAGACAACTTTCCTTACATTCTCATGGGCATCTTGAAAAAACATCCAAACTCATTTGCAAGTGGTACATTCTAGGAAAATCCCAGGCAGGTGAATGGCTAGTTTCTTTACAGCTAATAAACGAAAAAATGAAGGTGTTTTAATCCAACAACATATGATGAAAAAAGTATCGAATATAGACATTCATACATAAGTACTGTTCTTTGTATTTTTTTGTCACATAGAAATGATGTTTTTTCTGTGATCCATTTACATAGATTCGATCAAATATACTCTAGCCCCATCGGCTCCAGCTCCAGCTCCGAGGCATGGAGAGGTCAGAAGTACTCAGTGCTGCGTGGGAAAAATTCTGGGTGACATAGCAATCATCAGTTATTAAGGGGAAAGGTTTACATTGGTTTTATCACATTACTAGTAGATAGATCGATAAATACACTGGTTGGTGGTTTCAAACATTTTCTATTTTCCATAAATGGGATGTCATCCTTCCCATTGACGAACTCCATCATTTTTCAAGATGGTTATTGCACCACCAAGCAGTATAGGAAGGTGCCTTGAAGCAGTAGGGATACCCTCTGGTTATGACTAACAGTTCGCCATGGTTAAGCCATGGCCCATAGAAATAGATGGGCTATGTTAAATAACCAGATGGTATAATATCCATATTGAAAACACATAAAAGTATAGGATGTTGAAAATATGGGAGCAGAAGTGAACAATGATCATGGCAAAACAGATCCCAAAGGCTGTCCCAAAATGGGTAGCTGTTGTGATCGAAAAGGTTGATCAATTTTCAGACATAAAAACAACATAAAACGACATCAAATGACCATAAGAACAAGGCATCACCCTGTTTAACCCGCTTAGTCACTTTTATATAATCTATGTATATATATAATATATATATAATATATATATAGTAATATAAAATATTTAATATTTAATATTTAATATGCAAAATATACAATGTAATATGCAATATATAATATATAATATTTAATATATAATATTTAATATAAATTATACAATATATAATATAATATGTAATATATAATATATAATGTATAGTATATAATATATAATATATATTATATATAATACATAGTATATAATATATAACATTTAATATATACATAATATATAATATATAGTATATTATATATTATATATAAAATATAATGTATAATAAATAATATGTAATATATAATATATAAAATATATAATAAATAGTATATATAACATATAATATATAATATATACTATTTAATATATAATATATACTACTTAATATAATATATATATTTTTTTCTTATTATTTATAATATATAATATATAATGTATAATATATAATATATTATATATAATGTATATATATAATTTAATATAATATATATATATATAATGTATTTTATACTATATACAATATAATATACAATATAAAATATTTAATTATATATATAATATACAATATATAATATACAATATTGAATATACAATATATAATATATATAATATAATATATAATATTTAATATATAACATATAATATATAATATATACACTATAGAATATATAATATTTCATATAAATTATACAATATTTAATATATAATATACAATATATAATATGTAATATTTAATATATAATATATAATATATAATTTATAATTTATAATATTTAATATACAATATAATATATATAATATTATATATAATATATAATATATAATATATAATATATAATTTGTAATTTATAATATTTAATATACAATATAATATATATAATATATAATATATATAATATATATAATATATATAATATATATAATATAATATATAATATATAATATATAATATATAATATATAATTTGTAATTTATAATATTTAATATACAATATAATATATATAATATATAATATATATAATATATATAATATATATTATATATATATTATATATATAATATATAATATATAATATATAATATATAATATATAATATATATATAATATATAATATATATAATATATATATATAATATATAATCTATATCATATAATATATAAAATATAAGATATATATATATATACTGATTGGTGTTTTGGAACCATGGAATTTTATTTATGTTTCCATATATTCATATATATATATTCGGAATGTCATCATCCCAACCAGCTTTGATTCCAGTGGGAATCCCGGCACTTCCCACTCCCATGGGAGATCTGAAGGTGGCTCCGTGGCTCCGAAAAATGGTGGTTTCAATCCTCCAGGAATCAAAGATAGCAATGGAAAATCATGGGAAAATCATGGGAAAATCATGAGAAAATCATGGAAAATCATGGGAAAATCATGGAAAATCCATGGAGTTATAGATCCTTTGCCTATTAACACCTATTAAAACCACGAATAATGATAGGGAATAATTCCCAGTGCTACGTTTGGGAGTAGAATTCAACCCATCGACGCCAGCATCGTCGATGGGTTGACCAACAAAGATTGGTTTCTAAACTTGGGAGGACTAACAAAGACTAAGCAACTGCTTGGTGACTGGAACATTGCTGAAATGTATGGGATAATGATGGTTAATAATCACTGGTTGGTGGTGACTGGAACCATGGAATTTTGAATGACAACTGACTTGAACAAACCATGATTTTTCAGAGGGGTATGTTTTATTTATTTTTTATTTTTTTAATTTTCCCATTGGTTAATGTGCTTAATCCACCATTTGGGAATCTTTTTTTTTTCTGGCTCTTAAACAAATCCATCTCCAAACGCCTGAGGCTCCTCGTCGAACGCACGAGCCCTCAGGGGAGTGGAGCGAGTGTCGGAGTCACCGCAGGGCAGATCATTTGTGTCTGAAAATGGGAATGGGCCCGATGAAATGTCGCAGTTTTCATATGTTTCTCATGGTCAAAAGAGACTTTTTGAACATCTTTGAACCATGAGATCTGTTTTTTTTTCAGTCCCAATTTGCAGAAAGTTGTTCTGAAGAACATATAGAAAAAAAATCGCCCTGTTCCAGCAGAAGGTGTTCTTGGGGATTTGGCGTTCCAAATGCAAAACACTGACGGTCCGTCGATCTGGAATTTCAAGAAATAAGAGACGAGTAGGAAATGAGTGGATTGAGATCCAAGAATTTTGAGGAAATGATTGGATTAAGATTTTGGATCTTGGATTGAGAATGATACAGATTTTGCAGGGTCTGCAACGTCTGCAACGTAGAGATACACCATCCAAGTAATTTTTCTCCACAGAGCCACAGTATCTTGCTGGGGGACTGTATATCTTACAACCTTTGCTTTCTGAAAAAGAAGGAATGTGATTGCTTTCCAAATCAGCTGGAGGGTCTTGATCATCAAAACACATGAAAACCGAAGTCAAATCGATGTTCGTAAACGAATACATCATATAGATTCATATAGTATCATATATATATATATAATTATATATATAATTATATATATAATTATATATACACTTATTCAACATATTCAACATCTATCGACATCTATCAAAGCCATGCAGAATCTAATACGAAACCACCAAAGCGGGCCGTATCCCACTTTGAAACAGCCGAAAAGCTTCCGGGCAAGCTGTTGCCGCCGAAAAATAGGGGTACGACTATGGCTACGACTATGATGAAGGCGCCGGGCAATAGATGCAAAAGTGAATCCCTATTGATTTGATGATGATTTACTTCTCCATCTATTTGGGGATAGCTATGTAGTGGTTTTGAATGTTGTCATTGGCCGTTCATTGTCTTTGGATGTTGTTGTTTGTCCCATGTTCCTCCATGGCAATTCATGGATGTGTGACAGTCCAGAAAAAACATGTTGGGAACCTGCGTGCCCACTGGAGGCCTTTGCTGGTCCAAATTGCTTTTCTAGAAACACTGGCGTTGGCAGGTTACTGTTGACAGTGAATGCCCATTCCGATACATCACTAGCTGGTTGGTGGTTTGGAACATGTTTTATGACTTTTCATTCAGTTGGGAATGGAATAATCATCCCAACTGACTTTCACTCCATCATTTTTCAGAGGGATTGAAACCATTTTTTCCCCACCAACCAGCGAGTTTTTTTTGGGGGGTCCTATCACACATTCTGTCGCTCCCCCTATCAGCCTGGCAGCCAGGTGGTCAAGGTAACCCCCATTTTTCTTCCCCTTCAATGGCCATCATATGGTCACCATGACGAAAGTGTGGCCGGCCTCCGCAGATTTTTTTGGATCTGCGGAGGCCGGTGGTACACCATGAAATTTCACCGACACCTTCGGGATATTCCACAAATCTAAAAGGGTTGGTGATGGAAAATTTGAGTGCTATGATGAAGTTAGTTGGCTTGTAAACCCATGGTCACCCATTGAGATTTATGCACCGATTCATAAGGATTCCAATGGCAATGCATGGATGAGGGGCCACATTCATCCCATCTAATTTGACCATGGAACATACACTCCATAGCTCACTAATTTTTGATCTGCTGCCTTGGAAAATCAGCATGATCAATAGGTTTTAAATCATTTATAAATTGACCATGTTCCATAGTATAGATGATTTATAGTACCCTCCGGTAAACGTTTACATAACTATGGAAAGATCCACCATGCTATTAATGGGTAAATCCACTATTTCTATGGCCATTTTCAATAGCTATGTTAAATTACCAGAGGTTAGTCCTTATGATTCCCATCATTCCCATCATTTATAGATGATTTTCCACTATAATTATTCACTATAGCAATCAATTATCCAGGCTATTCTTCATGGCTCAAATGGGTTCAATCTTTTTCGTTTGGATGATTCACTATATTTTTCTTGGTTAGTTTACCCAAGGGTGTGGTTCTGGAACCTGGTTCCTTTCGGGCCACCGCAGGTACCACCAAAGTCTTTGTGGGAAACCTGTCGGGGGACCGACTAAACGACGGGGAAACGACGAGTGAGGGGGTAAATTTCATCACGACCTCACGTCGGGACCGAAGCCTGGAATCATGGTTTATGACTTAGGGAAATCATCCCCATGTGAGGCCTTAATTCAGGTTAGTGAAATATGATAATTTACCCAGATAGATAGAAAAGCCGGAAAAGTGGAAATAAAATCATCAAATACATCCAACCACCACCTAGATATCTAGATCACTTCCTGGCCCGAAACACGTGTCGGCATTTTTTTTGTTGGTTGCTATATATAAAGAAAATACCGATTTCCAAAAAACACGCACACACACACACCTTATTTCATTTTATATAGTTCAGCCTCCAGTAATTCAAACCGGCTTGATGGAACATCACGCATGTAGTTTGATCATCATGTCGTAGTTTATCATGGACAGTTGGATTCTCTACTAGTTCCCATGTTACATTACCAGGGGGTAACCAGCTAAAGCGTGCAAAAGAACTAATGATATGTTTCTCTTTTGAGTGTATCCAAGATTGGCTACTTGTTTGAAGCTTTCTAGACTTATGTTTGATATATTATTGGAATATGTGTACCACATCTTGGGTTATCCACCAAGCCACAAAAAGCATTGTACTGCCTGCCACCAGGATTATCACCCTGATTTTTCCTGAGCCGCATGACTATTTGTAACATCCAAAAGCCTTATAGTAGATGACTATAGCTGAATATGTATGAAACTGTAACATGCATTTTGCATCAGACGGATAAAGGATATGTATATATATGATTTTTTTGTGTATTAATTAAGCTAAACCCTGAACTCTCCAAAAGCATATGTCAAGCCATGTCTTAGCCGACACCACCAGAAGATTGGAAGAAGTGGTTCTTAAAGAATGGACGGACATTTTCTGCTTGGTGGTTTGGAATATGAGTTTTATTCTTCCATATGTTATATGTATTGGGAATGTCATAATCCCCACTGACTTTCCATTGATTGACCATATATATATATTCATAATCCCAATTATATTCCTATATATTCCATATATCAACAAAATCTATCAATTATTGGATCATATTGGATCCCAACTGACTTTCACTCCATGATTTTTCAGAGTGGTCGGTGGCTCAACCACCAAGCAGTTCTCGATGACATGACTTTGGATATTCGAGGCGAGGCAGACTTTTTTCAATGACCCTGAGGGTAAACCATTTTGGTTGGTTGAAAAATCTATGTACAACTGAGGTATGGAACATATTGTATCTACCACATGAGATTTAAACATCTATTTTTCTACAATGTATATATTTTTGTTGCTGCGCATATTGGATCTTTCTGGATGTAAAATGTATATCTGCACAACTGAGACATCACCAGAAACAATTTTGCTGTATATACATATGTATAAGTACATATACACATATTTGATATATTTGTATATATATAATATAATTATACAAATGTATATACATATATATATATATAGTCATTGCGGTATGGAACTTGGACTAGCCATGTGCGCGTTTTCCGTAAATGCACCAGACCGATGTTTTTTTGGCCCCGTTGATTCATCCATCACCGGCTTCTTGCTGTCCCCTAAATCATCAAAAATTAAAGCATTTTAGTACTGAACCCCCACATGTATATATGTATTCGTATGTATATATTTGTAAATTTTTGTATATATGTGTGTATATATATATGTATTTGATATGTATAGTATAGTATAAATATAAATATGGATATTGATTTAGTCTTAAATCATACACCCTGTGAGAGGTAAGACTTTGTTTTGAGGACATGTTGTCGAAAGTGTGTTGGGAAAATCACGAGTTTTGATGGTAAAAATCGCCCGTATTGCACTTGTCAATGTCCCCATGCTTTCCCAGGCCCTACACTGTGACGTGGCAGGAGTTGAAGGAGCCAAGCTTTGAGTTTGGTCGTGTTTCAGATGGGAAATCTAAGGGTACCCGGGTACCCCCGAACATTATCTTTGTGTAAACTTTATTCATTGAGGGGTTAAATTAACTTTCATCAGGCTGTATGAATGGTGCGAACATGAAATCATATTGAACCCTATTGAACCCCTATGGTTGGGGGAAGGATGTGTTTACTTCAAGTCAGTTTGAGGCTCGATATAGATTCACCAAGTTCAGAATTAGTAGCACAAACATCGGGTGTTCGACGGTTGATTGTATGGATTAGATAATACTATCCTCTTTAAAATTAATCATCGAAGATTTGTTTCCAGTGTATGTTGAAGAGTTCGGGACCCATATTTTGATATAAAAATTGATGATTTCCAGAATCTGGTCATATTAATAGTTTCCAGAATCTGGTATATTTCTCCAGAATCTCTATTTTGATATATAAAAAATTGATGATTTCCAGATGTTGTTGGTATATTCCCCATATGTTCCCCATGACTTTTCCCAGGATTTCCCAAGATGATCAGACGTGGTCGCCAGGACAGCATGCGACAGGTGGGCGAAGTGGTCCATGTGGAGCTCTTCACGGACCACGGAGATCCCAAAGGTCGTTCCAAGGCGCCGTTGATGACCTCGGGGAATCTCTGAATTTTGATCATCGTATGGAAGGTGAAGCAAACCTATGGATGGATTTTACATGATTTTACGATAAATATAGAGGTTTTACCATGTATAGGTTTCCACATCTATTTGGTAAAACCTATGATATCCAATTGGATGGATTCTATTTGTGATACCCTCTGGTCAACGTTTACATAGCTATAGAAAATCACCATTATTAATGGATAAATCAACTATAAATGGCAATTTTCAATAGCTATGTTAAATTACTGGAGGGTAATGGTTACCTCTTTTTGAATAATCCATAAATGGTTCACCTTCCAAATAGAGGTAAATCCATATGGTTCACAAAATTATTTGGTAAAACCATTATAAAGGTAACATCCATATGTGATTACCTCTATTTGGTAAAACCTATGATATTTATGGATGGATTATCCAAATGGCTCACAACTATTTATGGATGTGGGGAATCTCTCAAGCTTTATTTATGGATGGATTATCACAAATGATGATTTTCAATGGCTATGTGCAACCAGTGGGTGTTTCTTTGCTTCGCGGCAATTCGGAAGGGCCCACCCAAAAACACGGCATCTCTGCAGGCGCAAACGGCTTTATTCATCCCATTGCATGTAATCCTCTTCAGTACTATAGACTTGTTTTTTTTGAATTGGTAATACTGCATCCATTGGTCATACCTGGAAATAATTGGTTATACTGCAATTGGTATTTTATATTCCTTCTTTGGCAGCAATCATTGGTTATCATCACATCATATATATATATATATGTATGTATGTATGTATGTATACACATATTTATATATAAGCAGTGATGATATATCCCGTTTTTATCCCAGTCTAGTTGGTTACATAATCCCATATGGCCCATATCCCATTATATCCCGCTTATCATGCTTGTTGATCCTTGAAAAAAAATCCCATGATAATCCCAGTTCAATCCCACTGCCTGTCCATCAGGGCTGCGGTGTGGTGGAGTTTACAACCTATGGCGCAGCACGACGAGTTCCTGCCCAAAACTTTTGGGCTGGTGATGTGACGGTTTCACCCACCCCCAAGCTTGGATGGATAGTGGACCCTTTGGTTACCCTCTGGTTATATCAAAAAATATCGTGAATGTAGGGAAAATGATGGAATTTCTAGTGGAAAATCATCTATAAATGATGGGAATCATAAGGACTAGCCTCTGGTAAACGTTTAAACAAGTTGCGAACTTGAAGCCATGGCCCAGTCGAAAGTCCGTTGATTTGCCGTGCGTTTTTTTTCGATGGTGGATCTTTCGGATCTTCGCAAAGTGTAAACGTAGAAACCAGAGGCTAATCCTTTAAAGCCTTTGGCGCCCTTTGCTAGCTGCTTTAAATGGATATAAATGGAAAATATCTGAAAATACCCAAAGATCAGAATTTTTTGATGACTAGCAACGATTGATCACGAAGGTTTTTATATCATTCCAGCTCGATTGAAATTCCAAGGTTTGTTGATGGGATTTCACCAGCCCAAATGGATTGACCCAGCCAGAATGGGGAAAACCATGGATTTGACAAATGGATTTGACCATTAATATATTAGGTTTATATATATATAATATTAGGTTTATATATATATATATATATTTAGGTAAATTTATAACGACCTCACTGTTCGACCGAAGCCTGGAATCATGGTTTATTTTAGGGACATCATCCCCAAATGGCCTTAATTAATTCAGATGAGTGAAATATGTTTTCATTTACCCAGATGAATGGATTATCATGAATTTAACAAAATGGGGAAAACCATGGATTTAACACATGAATAGTGGATTTGGTGGTGCCCAAAAATGGGGCAGACCCCCCAAGCGGCCACGTTGAGGGACGATAGCAAGAAACCAGTGGATTTACGAGGGTCCCCCAATTTGAGAGAAACTTGTGTATGGCCATCAATTTTTGATTGGTTCATGTTGATGATATATATATATTTATTTATATACATATGTAAATGTAAATAAATATATATATATATACATGTATAGATAGATAAAAAAAATATATATACATAAATATATATATATATTTACCTTATGTTTTGTTATTGTTCTTTAGATTGACCATTGTTTACTGGTAAAGTCCCTATTTGTTTTTGTTCAGAAAGCACATTTCACAATTTGAGCTGGATTCATTCGATTTTGAGCTGGTGTGTCTGGTGATGTTGGCTGTTTGGTGGTGTTCAAGTATGTTTCAGCGTTCTAGATGCAGACACACACACACAGATTTATAATGTATATATGTATATATGCATGCATATTTGTCTTCGCATTAGGAAATGGCATGATGATGTTTCTTTACTTCGATTATTTTTTGGGGCTCAGAAGCAAACAAACTGACATAGAAATTGGAACTGATACTGGAAGACCTACGAAAATGAAAATAAACAACAAATATTCTGATGATTTCTGATGTGAAAATCAACATGTGAAGCAATATATGTTTATAATAAAATAAAAGATGAATGTAGCCAACACTAGCATGAATGCAATCAGAAATTGCCACGCTTGAGGTTGACTGTGTGTGCGGCATCATGGTGTTTGTTTCCCTGTAAGTAACACTGATGGGGCCTTACCAGTGTTTTACCGATCACCGATCATCATATGAAGGTTTCCAGTCCATGGGGGTAGCCATAGGAGGGATTTACCATGAAATAAACCATATAATATTACCCAGTTGAAAATGAATTTCATATGAGAATCCAACATTATGACATGGTAATTTACCAGTAATTATTCCACTCATCCAGCTATTAGAATGGGATTTACGATGAAATAAACCATCCAGCGAGCTTGGGGATCCCCCATGACTATGGAACCCATGGGCAGCCATGATCGCGGTTGCCAAGGCAGTTCAGTACATGCACGACACCATGATTCAAGGCGTGGGTAAAAGAAAAACAACAGAAAATGGAGGGATAGAAGCAATATTGTACATATCAAGTAGATATAGAATGATATATATATATATACACATATAACATTTATACATATATACACGCATATATATATTTATTTATGTATATATAGGGCGGTCCCTCTTAAAGTTTAGTAAGATGGTTTGTTGAGAACTTTTGGGTAGTTTAAAACCTGTATCGCGCAAGTTTCGCGCAAGTCTGGCCCAAGGTTTTGCGCAAGAACAAAAATGTTCTTGGATGAGGGACTTAACCAACGAAAATTGGATGGTTGATAGTGGAAAAGCCGAAAATAACATGGATTATGACTGGGAACCCCATTTCAGGAAACCATCATATATAGTGGGATATCTAACCGATATATATGATGAACGGCTTGAGACCCATGGGTTGGATCCTCAATTTTGTTGGTAATTTGTGATATTGCTGAAAAAACACCGAGAAGATGATTGGTAAATATAGGTAAATCATTGTTAATAGGTAAATATGTATACATACATATATATAATCATGTGTCTTTTGAAGTGAGGGTTGTACAGTGGAGAAGTGAGGGTTCAGATTGCTGTACCCGCAGCTGTTTTTTTTTGTCCAGTTGCTACGGAAGAATGCCATTTCTGTGGCATTATAGCATAGAATCCGGGACATCGAGCTCTGACTCTGAACCCGGCGATGGTTTCATGGTGCTACTGGCTCGGCTTATGCCTTTATTTGTTGTGAAATGTATCATCCACCCATTTGTAAATTTATCAATTTATGCCAGGAACCTGGGAATCAGGTTGACCTCAAGGAGAACCAAATCAGGAGTTTGGAGTTTGGCAAAGAGTTTGCCACCCGTGCAGGTAGCGTGGTTTTGCAAATGCTGTTTGAAGCCCATCATCATTAGTTCAAGTGGCAGGCTTGCAAGCTACTTTAGAGCCCCTGAAGCGGCCACTGTCCATTGTGACGGATTGCTGGGTCCTAAGTAGAATTCTGTTTGCAAACTGTCAATGCAAGTAGCAATGGTTGCATGAGGTAGTGGAGCTGAAGCCCCTGCTATTTCCTTGGATATGCTCTTGTCTGGGGCGGGTCGCACACAAATGCTGAAGCACCTGTCAGCACCTCAAGTTTCACACCTTTTGCGCATTTCAAGACCACGCAAACCTCCAAGGTCTATGTGTGACAATGCTGATGGTCCGGCAAAATGGCTGAAAGCCAACTTTCCACACGTGCCGTTCTGGTCTCAACTTTCTTGCTTTGTTTAACTCGTGCGGGTTTGTTTGGATACAATTTTTTAAGGCTACAGAAAGATATGGAGGAGAAACCTTTGGCCGGAGAAGATGAGGCGCTCTCATCACCCAAAAAAAATCAGTTATAATCAGTTGCACTACCCTGCTTCAGCCAGGCCGATGTCTACGCTTGCGGTTTTCCCTGCAAGGCATTTAGTGCCTTGCGAACGGCATCGGAGCTCCTAAAGGACAAAGCTGCGAAACCGTTTTGGCTCATGCTTAAACGGATCAAAAGGAGCAAACCCAGAGTTTCCCAGCATAACACAGAGAGCGGTTTTGTTCAACAAGTTTCGGTTTTTCTGGTTTCCATGTTCGGTGTTTTCATTCAAGCTGTATTCTTTTGCAATTGAACCCATTGAGGCTTGCATCCTCGAGAATGTTCGAGGACTGTATTCAGTGCTAGGCGAAGTACGGAAACAATTGGAAAAATGCGGGGACTACGAGTTGGCAGTATGCGGGATAAACCCGATCCTTGGTTGATATATCATATCATACGAAGGTTTGGTTGATGCATCGTAGAAAAGTTCTATATTCTATACTGTCTATACTGGACTGGTATCATGATACCCCCAAAGAATAATACAAGATTATGTAATCATTTTTTGATAGACCCTTGAACTTCCCTGAGCCTTAGGAGAGACTATGGCGTGGATGCCTGTCGGGACCGGATCTATATCTTCATGATTTTAAGGGAGTACCTTCCATCAAGACAATTTGACTTGCAGCACCACGCGGACACAGTGCTGGAATCAATGAGATCCACTTCGACCATTCCATGGTCCCATACTTAATTCGTATTTTCTTAGTAATCATAATATGCTATGCTTTCTTCATTTCCTCATCCTCCATACTAGGTCAACTTTTCTTCTCGAAGATGACGATGTCTCAGTACGTGAAATCAATTCCAAGAAGGATGAAAGGGTCCGCAAACGGAAGCTAAATGAGAAGAAAAAGTTTAGCTTGGCCACCAGGCCCCAACTGCGCTTTATTTTTTTTCTCGCTTTGCTGGTTCAAAGTTTGCAAGAAACTATTGTCTAGATTATCCTTTGGCAGTGGAGGCCAAGAAAGGAAGAACCTCAGTGGAGACATCACAACTGGGCTTTCATGAAGAAACACCAGGCTTGGAATTCCAGCATCATAAGATTTCAATCCAACTCTCGGCCTCGCCAGTTGTCTCCGGCTGCAGTGCATGGAGCTGCAAAGAACAAGTTGGGGGCTGCTGTGGCATGTTTACACCAACGGAATGAACAGGTGAGACACCAAGTTTATTTGACAGCTCCGGAACTTCACGTAGCCAATATCTCTGTCTGTATTGAAACATCCTAAAGCGCTGCCTTGCCCTCCGCTACCCGGCTCTCAGGCTCTGGACATCATGACTGTTGTCAAGCCAGACTGGCAGGTTGCAGACCTGAGCCAGAACGTGCACATGATGCCAGTGGTTCAGCCTGGCCAGTGTCAGACTGAGACGATCAGAAAAAACATGATCAAATATTGTGTTTGGATCAAACATTGTATAAATACTTCAAGTTCAAGCCACTGGCTAAGGCCATTTCCATCTGTCACGCGTAGTCCCCAGACTTGAAGCTAAGAGTTGAAGTCAAGGTAGAAGGGATCAACTTCAGTAACAGCTCAGGCCGGGAGCAGACTACTTTTCAGCCAGCAGGAGACGGCACATTACAGGCAACGGGTTAGTCAAAATTTCTTGAAACTTGCGAGATTTGGATCTTAAATTTGCCAGGTACAGAAAAGTTACTACTGATGGGGTTTCCCCTTCATCGCTTGAACTCCTCATGTTCAAGTGAAGCGGTGTCAATCTTAGGGGGCCTGTTTTTGTGTTCATTTCATGCACTGGAATCCTAAGACTTCCCAAGGAGAAAAACAGCCTTGCTGGGAATTCCATGCACCTCCGAGCTATTGCGGCAGCTTGGGTGGTCATCTTGAAGGCATTAATATGGTGAAACAGTGTTTAATATGGTGAACTGTCTAACCTTTAATAGGATCTTGGTAATGGCCCCCCTGGAGGCGATCAACATGAAGAAACTCAACATGGTCACAAAGGTGAAAAATACTGACCAGAAGGCCAAATGACAGTTTTTTAGTTTGGACTCTCCCTTCCTCAAGTTGCATACCAAGTTGCTCATTCTGCATGGGCTGACCAGGATGAACGTCCCAAGAAGATGCCTCGGCGTGAAGGCCCCCGACTTGTGGTAAAAGATGACAAGAATTTAGGGTCCTAAAATTTACATGTTGGGATGAGCCAGGTCGATGACTTCAGCTGACAATGTGCAACTGTATTCCTGACATGTTTATCAATTCTGTCCAGAAGAAGTCGTGAAAGCACTGACAGCAACCTATTGCAGAATCAAAACTTTGTGGAATCAACTTCATTGTCATATTCACTGATTGCAGGGTCTAATTTTCAGAGCTAATCCGTTAGAGCTTGGCCAAGTCGCAGCAATGGAGGGAGGTTCAGTCGGTCAGACGGCCGCAAAGCCTGTGAGACAAGACAAAGCAGCTCCAACTGTCCCAGACGCAGTCTGGAGCTACTTTTGCACAGTGCGCCCCTCAGGCAATCTTTCTCATGATGCGTATTATCAAGTCTGAATTTGTTTTTTTCCTATCGGATTTCTTTAGAAACATTTCAACTTTCAATCCGAAGGTGGTAGAGGACAGGCAGGAGAACATCGGAGATTGGCTCAACTTCTACTATGATGGAGACAAGTTGGGGAAGGCGGATTACTTTAAATAACGACTGAATACTGCTGAATACAGATTTTCCAACAACACGTTGACACCAAGTGGTATCTTTTGATGACTTCCCAGCCGTTCAGGCCATTCAACGAATCGTGGCCGCGGCACCAGCAGCAGTGGGGAGGACATGTGTGAATGCGATTTCTGTGTCCCCCACTACCAGCATGCCAGATATCACGGTTACCCTAGACCAGCTTGATTTCACCAAGACAGCCAAGAATGGATGCTTCTTGGTATATTAAAACAAATCTCAATTTTTCCCGACATTATTTCCCTCTTATGGTGGCATTGGCAAATCATTAGTTACCATAGGTCTAATCTTTAACTGTTGCCGGTTACCCCCACTGTAGCCAATGACTGCCACTGCCTTCCCAGTCTACCCACCGATGTGCACCTTGGCCAATGTCTTCCAGTCCGTGCTGCTGCGCGGGTATGAAGCCTACCGTGAGCCGCTGGTGATCAAGTTTGCCCCAACACTGGATCGAACTATCCCACAGTTTTCCATTCGTTTTGTTGACGGATTCACGAAGTCCCTGGTCCTGCAATGCATCGTTGCAATCCTTGACCACCTGGATTCTCAATATACTACTGCAGTAGCGGTTTCTTTCTGCCCCAAATAAATTATTGTTACTATTGAGGGTTGGGGTTATGATTTCTATTCCTGACCTTCGACCCCAGGAGATTCCGATCGAGGATATTCACGGGCCAGATATGTTGCCCATTCTTCAGTCCATGCAACTGATCAAGGCTAGGTATGTCCATTTCGATGATCCGTCGCATTACTTCTATGAATCACTGCGTCCCTGTGCGTTGGAACATGATTTCTTTCAACTTTTTCCGCATTTCTTTTCAAGCATTTAGTATGAAAACCTTCCCAATAAAACCAACTTATTCATGAAGCCAAGGCACATTTCTAAATATGGCCTTGGGGGCTATTGCTACACTAAGGTTTGGGAAATGAAACTGCGGAGAAGCAGGCGCCATCGGCTTTGACACTCTACGGTGAGTTTAAATTTGCCTTGGAGAACATTCGACATTCTGATCCTTCCAAAGCAAGGACCCCTCTCAAGGACTTGTTGAACTTCGCAATTGCTCAGTACAACAGGACTATCACAAACAAAAAATTTCGGATTGAAACGGGTAAGAAAAAATGATCCTGAACCTCATGCGCTGCCCCGACAAGTTCAGTGAGCGGCTGAGTTGGCACTACGATTTGCATCGCCATTCAGCATCAGGACCGTTGGTGTTGGTGGTGGTGGGGCGTAATAGTTGTGATGCGGTTGTTCTGCTCAGTTGCTTTTTCCTGCTCTAGCCTTGGTTTCATGTCATGGAAAAGCTTGTGCAGCATGCAGCGCATCATCAACCTTTCAAAACAAATCACTAGTTCCAGCAATACTGTGATATACTGCAATACTGGATTTAAAATAAAAGACGTCTTTAGCAAGCCAGGGGTGACCAAACATGTTATCTTTTTGGATCCAAACATACTTTACAAGAACAGGGGTATATCGCTGACATGCCATACATTGGCCATTGGAGAGCCAGCTCTGGTTCTTCTGCCAGCCGAAGCCGGAGCCCACAAGTTGAAAGGAGGGCAGTGTTTGCAAACCAATCCTCTAGCAGCAGTGATTCTGGTACATCTGACACATCGGGACCTGAAAGTGACGGATCATCCCGGAGTAACACCAGGACCTGGGTAGTGAAATTTTAGAAGGGTTGACATATGGTGATTTTTTCAAAAACTAAATTGTTTTTCAAAGGAAAAAACATGCCCATGTTTCCCCTTGTTTCCCCTTAAATGCCAGGGTCCATAATTTCCATCAGTCAGGCCAACAACTATCCGGTTGGATTTGCAGCATTTGGCTGCAGTGAAGTCTTCATCGGATGAGGCTAAGTGGGAAAGCCAATATGCTGCTAATGGATCATGTGAACGTCGAATCAAAAAAGTCTTGAAGAACAGGGAGGAATCCGGATGTGTGTGCAAAAAGCAGTGTCCCGGAATTTAAAAAAAAACATTTTTGTTTTCTCCAATCAAGCTTGGGAAATTATTCAAATAAGCATGTTGATTTCTTTCGCTCTTAGGTGTTGGAAGGTTGTCTCTGCCAAGCTTCTGCTACAAGTATGTGCCATCTTTTGGTCTTTGCAGAAGCCGCAACAGGATTCACTACTGTGGAGCATCCAAGCGTTTAGTCTTGACGAGGAAGTTTCTTCTGACGGGGAATCTGAATCATCGGAAACCGAAAAGAAGAGCCCATCTCAGTGGTATTTGGGGGGACATCCCATTTGCCGGAAAGCCTTTGCGAAGTTCTTAGGGGTGGGATCCAATCGTCTTGACAGAACTAGAGGACGGTTTCGAGGTCTAGATGAACGCCTTCTGAAAGGAGCTGGGTGGGAACATATTTTATTGTAAATTAAATGTCCTTTCAGCATTCACCCCAGATGATTTATAATCTATTTGTGCGCCGTAAATTTTGCAGGACCTAGATCTCGGGCAGCAGAACAGGCTGCCTCAGTGAACACTTTCTTGGCCCACATGTATTACTCCGTTAGCGAGACAATGCCAACTGGGATACCAGCCATTGATTTGATCAACATTGTTTTTAAACCCCAGCGGGCACCAAGGTATCTTTTTGTTCCTTGTGTTTCTTGGCTGAGTTGTCGTAAAAAGATGTAAAAAGAGATTATTCCAACCAAAACAATAGATTCGAACAAGTCCTTTTTTTAAAGCCCCGGAATGTAGTCAACCATTATAGTTTTTTTTCATGCAGTAGAAAAGTTCGTATTTGCTACACCAACAACTTTGCCACAAGGATACTGCCGCATGACTGCTCCTTAAAGGATGAAGATGCCCGACAAATTCTTCTTAGCAAACTTCTGGATGATGCACTTGATGGTCAAACCAACAAAGTCTTTCTTCGAATGAACCCCCAAAACTTGGCAAAACGGGAATTGCCTCCAGGCACATGGAGCCAGCTGTACTTAGTTTATACAGCACATTGCTTATCTGAGGGGAAGAAGGCAGCGTGCCGCAGTGTCTACTACCAAGTAGTAAGGACATGGAAAAGATGTTTGTCTTTTAGAAGAAGGTCACAGCATTCGGCCTGCTTCACATGTGACAGATTAAAAGCGTCAATGAGGCACGCAACTTGTTTTTGGGAACATGCCAAAGCATGCGATGCTTTGCTGGCCCATCTGACGCGTCAGTGGGCGTGTCGACAAGTCTACTGGGGAGCTAGAGCTGAGTCCCAAAAGAAAAGAGGGCTCTTAACTGTAATCCTAGATGGGTTTGATCATTCGAAGGCAATGCTGCCAAGATGGACAGCTGGAAGAACCCCAAAAGGGGGTGCCTTCGACCGGGTCCCCCGTCCCCACATGAACATTAGCTGTGGGCTAGCTCACGGCTACGGGTGTTTCATTTTCATTGCGGATGAGTTCACATCAACCGGGGCTTCTTACCAGTGGGAATGCCTACTTCGAATCTTAGACACTTGCTTTGCAACGGCCAGAGCTGAAGGTCGCATGCAGCCAGACACAGTCTGGCTGCAATGCGATAATACTGTAAAGGAACTGAAAAACAGTATTACGGGCCGACTAATGTGCTCACTGATTTCTCAGGGGCACATAAGAGAATGCGGACATCACCATTTAGAAGTTGGACACACTCACGAAGACTGTGGACCCCTGGGTTGAAACACCTCAGTATATACATTGTTTTTGATCTGCTTTTTTGTGGGTAAAGGGTGCCAGGTTCAATTGTTTTTGAGAAATTGCATCATCCCCGCTAAGATGCTGTATTTGGAGTGATGAGCAGCGTGCTCCGATCTGCAACAGATCATGTTCAAAGTCCCATGGACATGAAAAGGTATATCGGCAGAATTATTGTGTGATTTGCCCTCGAAAATATAGTCCTACATTTCTGTCGGGGGTTTCCCCTCAAGTGTTGAAATTTTGTTTCATCAAGGGATTTTGATATCCTTGGGCTTTTGTGGGGGCGGTGTGCCAAGGCTTCTAGAAAGCAAGATGGGGCACCATTGGACAAGCCGTGGCGAAAGTTTCTCCGTGACCTATGTGGACACTGTGCTATGGCATGGCGATTTTGCTGTCTGAATTTGTGGTGATTTCCCCGAGGGTACTAGGGAATCTATTGAAATTGATATCTTAGCTACATCTGAGCCTCAATTTGAGCGTCTAAACTTTAAACCATAAATTCCTAGGTGCGACCATTTAAAGATCTTTTACCAGCAGTTTCAACTATGAGAAATGCTTATCGCGAGCGTGATGCTGAAGACAACAGGGTCCCACACAGTTTTTTGTTCCGAAGACGCGAAGACCTATCTGCAGCACACCTACGCTTGATTGAAGGGCAACGTATGCCTTATGGTATTGAACCAAATCCAGCGGACGTTTTCTGCTTGGTGAAGCAATTCATGAGTGATGAAAATTATTGCCAAGATCCCATTTTGGTGTGGCCGAAGAATGATTTGGGAAAGACTTCTTTATTTTGGAATGCTGCGCGTAGACATGAGGGAGTCCGTGGTGCTGTGGATGCTACACGGGCGCAGGCTTTATCGGAACTAGCTGATGCATTGCGTGCATATCCCCAGTATTCCAGGGCAATTGCCTATTTGGAACAGTTGGCTGGTATTCGTGCCAGGGTATGGGCTGGGGTGCCCAAGCTGATCTTTTTGGATCAGCCTGTGATTTCTCTTAGGAACAACATGCGTGGTGGGTCTCTGCCGGAGCGAGAGCCCGCTCCAGCACCTCATAGATTAGAAGTCAGGTTTCACCGAAGATGATCGCACGTGCACATGGGGGAATTGCGCGCGGAAAATTGTTTACTTTTTTGCTAAATGACAGCTCATATCAAATCGAATCTGGATTCCAAACAAGATTGGCTCTTTTTTATTGCGTCGTTCTTTTGGGGGGAGATTCAAACCATTTTCCAGGATTTCCCCAAGAGATTTTGGAGAATGGGCATTTTGTTCCTGGTGGTACTCGGCAAGACGCGGCACCACGGTATCAAAACAAAAAGATCTGGGCGGAGATCTTGCTGATTTCAGATGAAGCATGCTTCGAGTATGTTAGGAGGATGTGCGATGATTTCGAGAAGGCGGTCAAACCGGATTCCACGAAGAAGGATAAGGAGTGGGGTTTAGAGCTGGGCGTTTCTTGCAATGCTGCTGCTGCCGCTGCCGTTTTTTCTCTTGCAGTTGGTTGCTGTTGTTTGCTGCTATTGGTTGTATTGGTGTGGCGGTGACCGTGGTGGCAGCGGGCGTGGTGATTGCTGTACGGGCTGTGGTTTCTTTCTCCCCGTCTTGCCTGCTAGGTTGTGGTGTTAGTGTCGTTGCCTTTTTTTTACTGTGCTTGTGCAGCTGTAATTTCTGCTAGTACTTGGTCAATAGTACAAGCCTTTGGAAAAAAAAGTTTTTGAATGGTTCACCTATACTATGTTTTTCAGTGCTTCTTGGGTGATTTTAGGGTATTTTCATCCAAGCTCCACAAGACCAAATTGCACCACCAAAAAAAATTAAAAAAAACCCTGTTCAGAAAGCGCAGCAAAAGACCATAGAGAGGCATTGTGAGATCATGGATGCAGTTTTGCTTTTTCAGTGGCTTCAGCCGAAATTGGCCAGCACTTTCACTGGGGAGCAGTGCAAGAAAATCTACGAGATGTGGTCTGATGGGTTTTTTGGCGCTTAATTAATTTATTGGATTTTCAGGGGAAAACCATAGACAATTCAGTCCCAGACCCCGGCCCCTCAACTTTCTATGGTTTTCCAGAAAACCCGTGATGATTTGGGCTATAACGGGCCAACCCAATAAGATCCCAGGTCGGGGTCCGTATGTCAGATCGTATTGGGTACCTCTGTAAACCCAAAAATCTTCTATGGTTTTTCAGAAAATCCGTGAGGATTTGACTCTTGGTCGGGGGGTCCCAAACATCTATGGTTTTTCTGGGTATCTCAGATATCATTTCGGATTTGGCAACAGAAGTTTCTATGGTTTTCCAGAAAACCCGTGATTTTTTTTTGGCCAAATCGGCGAAAACCCGAGAAACTTTGTCAGCCAAATCGGCAAAAACCCGAGAAACTTTTTCGGCCAAATCGGCAAAAAACCGTGAAACTTTTCTGGCCAAATCACAAAGTCTAGCCAAAGCCGAAAACCCGTAAAACAGAATCCGAATAGCTGATAAAAAATGAACAAATGGCTTAAGATTTTTGGGGTCGGCGATGATCGGGGCGTAGCCTTCCTCTAAATTATATAATGAAAAAACAACGTTTTTGGGGCTATATTTTGGGTTGAGCATATGAATACACTCCATTCGGCCTATTTAGCTGGACATGAAGAATCTTGGAAATGGATGGGTGGAAGTAGGTCCATTGGGTTTGAAATGCTGGAACCTCCTTTGCTAAACTTTACCGGTCTCGCAAACTGCAGTTATTATCAATGAGCTTCAAACCAGGGATTTCAAACTGACCTTATTTAGGTGGATCAATGATGTTTTTGATAGATACATTTCAATTGAAACCAAACATCCCGACTATCCCTTCGAGGCTCTTGGACAACGACCTCATTTCTTGCACCAAAGCCGCTGATTCCTCGCTGAACTGGGAACGAATTCCATTCATTCTGGAGGCCCAAACAATGGGTTAAAATGTTAAACAAATGCTACTTACCCTTTTTGGGGTTTACTTTTGGTCATGGTATGGGGCATCAGTTCTTGCCTTTTTGATTTTTTTTTGGGCGCAACATGTTTGTCCCAAAATCTCCAAACATGTTTCTGTGGGTAGGCGCAAGGGCGAAGCCAACAAGATTTCATGGAAAAGGCTCAATCCGAGTCGAAGAATGCCTTGCATGCTTCTTTGGCAGCCGCTTTTACGGCTTTCAAAGCCCAACTGGAAGCCGACCAAGCCACATTTGACTCCTTGACGCTAAGGTAGCGTGATCAACAACATTTATGTTTTTTTGGTTGACACCATACCATGTAAAAGGGTTCGAAGTACCTACAATATTACAACGTATATCGGTGTGAGAGGCAAATGGTTGACAGTTTTTGGTGTTGTTCATTGTCGTGCATATTTTTTGCTGCGATATTTTTTTTGCCCAGCAAATCTCGAACCCACTTATATAGGTTGACAAAGGACGCTGAAGTGAAGCGAAGGGAGCTGGTCAAGAAACTCGAGGGCATGCATGAGCTTTCTTGGTCAGTGGTGGGGGATTTCGTCAACAAGAATTGGATTACTTGGGCCGTATCCACACATGAGTTGGGGGATCAAACCATTCTCCCACAGCTGCTGCCATGGTGTGACCAAGTCTTGTCGGAGGCTACTTTCAACCGGGTCCCCGAAGAGGAAGGCTACCTGCTCTTTATCAACATGCCGACATGTGGCGTCGTTCCATCCCAAAAGCTGAACTACTTCCTTCAATTGACCACTACCTTTTTGGCAACAAACCGGAAGAACTCAGTGTGTGTCATGCTGTTTCCCAACAAGGCATCAACTGAGAGAAAGAGCGACACCAAGATGGAGAAACTTAGTCACAATTATTTGTAGACTTGGTTCTAACTTCTTTCTCCTGGTGGGTATCCACATGACCTTACTGATGCTTGAAGTATGTCATAAAAGGTCGTATATCTTCCAAAAGCTAGGGAGGTGGCTTGGATTTTGGATTCAACTTTTCGAAAGACAAACATCACCACATGAGAGTATGAATATTTAATCTTTATGTTTGGGCTTCCTTTTGGAATATGGCTAGCTTTGCCCACAGCTTGATTTTTTCAAACGGGTCTGGCCACATGACATGTTGCGCTGGTAGCATCGACCTCACTGTACTAGACTTGACAATAGAGGGTTACCCAATTTGGCCGGAGGAAAGACGAAAGCGATCCCGAAGATGGAACAAAGAAGGAGGAACAAGACTCAGGTGAAGAAGAGTTTGACGATGATGCTTCCAATGAGGTTGGGTCCTTGAGCAAATTCAACCACCAACTGGAAGCAACATTGAGGCAACCTCACAGAAATCTGGCCGTTAAGGATCTTTTGCTGACCTTTCAAGATGCCTCAATTTATGGAAAGCGGAGTGCTTGGGCACGAGGTCTTCTCATCACAGCCACTCATTTGAATTTCTGGTTCTGAAATTACACCAAAAAAATGGAAACCATAGTCCAAAATTCTTTTTGGAATCGTTTTAAGGTGTCTTTCTTTATCATGCAAGAATCAATCTAGAGGCAAAAGACGGTGGCAACCTCTTCCACAAAAGCCCTGCTTGGCGCCGTGGAATTGTGGGGGATATCCAGATGCTCCAAAGGAATGAGATGTACCGACTTTCCAAGCAGAGTGACACCTTGCGAATGAATTCAAGCTTCACATTGAGTCAAGAAACCCGGCAGGCTTGTTTCTCAAAAAATAATCGACTTTTAAGCGCTGATTTCTTTCCAACTGCAAAATACATTGAATTTTCCGAATGTTTTTCTACCAAATCTTCCTACACATTGTGCGTTGATAAAGAAATCTTACAACTATAGTATATAGTATTATATAGTATGAATTTTCTATCCTGAGTGGGCTCAGTTTTGGCGTTCCTGCTCCTTTCAGGCCTGTGGTGGGACAGATCTTTGCAACAAACTCCAGACCGCTTTGACTTCCAACACGGGCGTGGAACGGCTGGTTTGGATTGATGCTCATGGGTATGATGCCTTTCCAGCTCTGTCGTGTTTGCAGGACCATGTGCAAGAAAAACACAAACCTTTAAGTTGATCAGTTGAAAAGGGGACCTTGCACATTTCACTGATTTCTCATAGGCAAGGTGCACTGGGGGACTGAAGGTAATTTCATAATACACTGACAAGGAGCCCTGCAAGTTTTATAAATGTTGAAAAGTTGAAACTATCTTCCCTGGTTTAGGATCAAAGTACCTTGCAAACCTTTTGCGCAACAATCGTGCATGGTGACCAGAAGCTGGCGGACCAGTTGCACCAACGCGTTGTGACAACAACTTACGAGCAAGCCCGCAATGGTGCCAAAGAAATTGATGGGTTCCCCATTTTCGGACCAGTGGTTGCAGAGCTGAAGCAATGTCAAAACCAATCAAACCTATGTGGCGCTGCTGTGCCAGCCAAAGACTTTCAGGTTTGTACTCCCCAAGTAGATGGATGCCTGATTATCAAGGAACCATTCTTCAAACAGTTTGAAGAGAGCATGCCAGAATTTGCTGATGTGCTGGAAGCCCACAACGACAAGTACAATCCAGATGGACACCGTATTCGAGAAGTACAAGAGAGCCCGAAAAAGGACGACACACTCCAGATGACCGAACTGATCCAGAAGGACGACCCGATGACCCCAGAGAAATTGACCGCGTTGCCAGGAGCGTTTCTCGACTTCAATGTATGTTCCAACGGTGTGTAATCTTCTTACAGCCCCCTTAGGTAGTTCATGTTTTTTCTTTCTTTTTGAAGATACTATATGAGGTCCTCGCTCAGCATCAACGCTCAGCTCACCCTGGTCACTGATGGGCAGGGATCGGAGTTGTTCGTGCAGGCTGATGAAGAACAAACCCTGATGAATGGGCGAGAACTATTTTCATTTGGTTCCGGATCTTGGGTGGATGGGGTTGAGGCCCGGGAAGTCTTGGAGTCCGATGCCAAGTTTCTTCCCTTCAACGTTTCATTCGACACCAAGTTCATCTTAGAGAAGCGAAAGGTTCTGCAGCACTTGGAGGGCATGAGCTCTTTGGAGAAAGCAGTTCCCTTGCGAGAGTTGCTGTCTGAGCTACAGGATTTTGGGGAAGTTACTTGTCAGGTTTAAGAAAACATCATAATTTGTTCTGTTGGATTCCAGCCTGCCGTTCCAAACAAATATACTATTGTCGGGAAAGGTTTCAACAAGTTGTTTTGCATTTTTTCTGGGAATACATTGAGGGAAATTATCGCTATCAAGTAGGGCATTTTTTTGCTGGGTTCATGTTTTTGTAAACGGTATTCAAGTTGGGAAATCAGAAACCCAATAATATGAGGAAATCAGTGCATAGCCATAGGGTCAGTGAGAAAGGGCCGAAGACCGTCAGATAGGGTCAGCATGAGGGGTCGATGACCGCTAACGATATTCAGTTTTGGAAAGCCGAAACCGAATAGTATGAGGAACCCAATGCATACAGTAGGGTCAGCGAGAAGGGCCGAAGACCGTCAGGGTCAGCCTGGGGGGTCGAAGACCGCTAATTGTGCACTGTAGGCTGTTTTTCCTGTATGGACTGTAATTCCGAATCTGGGAAGGCAATCCACCAACATGACTAGATTGGCAAAAGCACACTAGGTAATATATTGCTAAACAGTTCGGGGTCCCTCGGCCCTGGATCAGGTCAAAGTTGGTGTCTCACACCATGAACTTGATTTTGCCAATGAATCGATTCGCTCGGAGAAAACATTGGCCTTCGTTTTTGAGACCAAAATCAAAGATGCCGGAAATCAGAACGAAGAGCCTCCCCGAAAGAAGCCACGCAAGGAGAAGAAAAAAAAGGAAAAAAAGGACAAGAGCAAGGACGGATCGCGCTGGGGAAAATTACAGGTGATACCACCAGCTTTTCAAATTAAATGGAAAAGTTTAACTACCATCTTGTCAGGCTAATCTGTTTTTTGGAGCAAGTTGCATCCTGATGATGCATTGTTATGCGCGGGAATCCCACGGTTTGAAGGAAAAGATTTCGATTTTTTGTTGACCCACGCTTTTTGTTGGCCGGAAGATTCAGTTCTATAATATCTATTGTTGCGGCCTGGGCCCAACCTATATCAATCTTTATCCCTAATTTTGTGGACTCCTGTCGCAGGCCTCCCCGCTCACCTTCGGCAACCAGCTCCACATACCGAAGTTGGCTGCATCCCCATCCTTGGCCGTTGCGTGGAGGGTCAGGCAAGCCCATCACTTGAACCAAGGAACCCAGGACAGGGCATCTCCCAGAAAAGCAAAAAAATCCTACCGTCCCCCTATACAAAATAAAGGCTGTCTTTCATTGTCTTTCCATAGGATGGATTTGTCAATTGGGATTCTCATCTCGGGTGATGCTGAAAGAATTTGTATCGATGCATGAAATTACCAGTGCCACTGCATAGATCATCCCCACAGTTATGGGTAGCAATAAGCTCACTGCCTCCCTTTTTGGTTGATAATTGCAGTTCTTATATAGTATCTCTGGGTCCGACATTAAGCCTTTTACAAAAGAACATATCTTTAATGAATAGGCATATCACCCCAATAGCCCTTCCTCACCGTTGCCATGAAATGAAATCATCCAATTAGGGGTGGGTCCAATGTGAAACCCATGTTGCCTTATGCGCACTGGTCAGATTACATAGACATATTTGGGTATAGTTATCCTACCATTGTGAATGGGATGACTCAATTAAGATAATGGATGTTGAGACCCCTATACAAGTGGGGTGTCACAGTGTCACATACCCTTTTTTATCTGAACATATCTGAACCTAGATCCGTCATTTTTTGGAACCTTTCGGGCATGAGCCCCTATCATCCCAATTCTTGTTGTTTTGATAAATTATTTCCTGTTGGACATTCACAGTCCCATACTACAAACATGTGGAGAACAACTATGGGCCATTTTAGGTCGGTTGGTGAAAAATATCTTATGTCATCATACTAGCGGGATGATGGGTCCCTGCCACGAATTTTAATGGGTTTCTTTTTGGCGCAATCAGCTTAGAAAAAAGTGTTAGGCCAACATGGTATTACACATGGACTTCTTGGGCAATGTAATCATTTTCGATATTTGCAGGTGGATGTTTGAGTAACCTTTCTCTACCTATGAAAAGATCAAGTCTAGCAGAAAGCATTACAATGGATGCAAACACCAAAATTTACCTAGGGCGGGATCGGTGTGGTTTTCATGGGTCACCCCGCCCTTGCCCTTCCACTGTGCAGGCTCGAATCCGCTGGCATGGGCGGCACCAAGCTCATTCCTCAGCGGCCGGTTGCCGTGCTGATCGGTCTACTGGATATGAAGGCGAAGTCAGTATCCCAACTGATGTGAATAGCCACTGAGGTAAAACGGAAAAGCATTATCACACCCCAACAATCTTTATGTTCATCATTTGAATATCATCAATCTTGGGAAACAATAATCAATTGCACCATCTAATTTGTTAGTTTGTTGCTGGGGCTTGATTTTGGAGCGGCCCGTTGACTCATTCGGGCGCATAGGGATGGTCAATGAACCAAGTGAGCCAGAGGATCAGGTGGCAACGTGCCAGCTCATTCTATTGTATCATAATATCATTCTATTATATCATAATATATATCAATCTATTATACATACTATTATATCATAATATTCTCATTGTTTCCTTTTTGCATTTTGGTCTTTAAGATGCTCCTGACATACCTGGTTCCGAAAAGGATGCCAACACCGTGCTGGCCATGGGGAGGCACAGTCGACATGGCATGTCTAGCAAAGTTTAGGTGACCCTGGGCCAAAAAAGTTTAGCTACCAAAAATCCAAGAAAGCAAACTTAGACTCCCACAAAAATTGAATTCCCGGGGATACCTTCAACGCTTCCGAAAGCCTAGAGACTGTGCCAGATGATCCAGCAGCAATCCCAGAGGCGAAAAGACACCATGACCATTCGGCATGGCTTCCGGTGGCAGTGTGTGGTAACATGTTGCATTTTTTGCAGTGGCAAACATCGGTACCTTTTATGTAGCTGGGTAAATTTCTGGAACTTCAAAAGTTTGGCTCACACTTTTGCGCAGGGGTTACTATGAGTGACCCAGGGTCTCCCGACTCCGTCCAATGCCTTGGGGGTCCTAATGCTGCTGCGAAAGCAGCAACGTTCCGTCCCCCAGTTGGAGCCTCAAAAAAGTGAGGCGTTTCGGTAAAGAAATTAACAAATTAAAGAGAAGATAGCGGTGGTTCAAGTTGTTTGACAAAATTGTTGAGAAGAATCCCTGGGCCAGATTGCACGTGCATTCCTTTTCGGCCGAAGCCCAAACAAGCATTTGCGTACAATCTCCCTTTTTTTGTTCCACTCCTATTGAACATCCCGGATATTGAAATCTTTCCAAGGCTAATTTTGAAAACAAACTAGATCCTTCATTCACAGGTTGTATGATGTTGTATGCTATTTTTCCCGCCTTAGGAGCTCCAGACTTTTTACAGACAAAAAATGTAGACTGTTTGCTCGTTGGATCTCCTCATCTAGGTCCCTTCCAAACCTTTACCTTCCCTGATTCAAAAAAAAGTTCACCACCTTTGACTCAGGCCTTTGACATATCGCTTTGGTCCGGTGACAATCGCGGTGGCAATCGCCCAGGGCGTGCCACAAGAACCCAGCAGCCAAAACGGGAGGGCACAGGGGTCAAGAAGAGGGAAAGTAGCTTAAAAGAACCAGAGCGTGCGCAGCCAAAGGCAGCCCCAAAGCACGCCGCACCAGCAGCTCCAGCAACCCAGCCACCTATGGCAGCCAAATCTAAAGCAGCACCAGCACAAGGACAGCCTGCAGTAAAGGCTGCAGCAGAAGCAGAAGCTCCCAAAACCACACGCCCGAAAGCAGAAGCTCCGAAAACCACCCCAAAAGCAGAAGCTCCCAAAACCACGCCCCCGAAAGCAGAAGCTCCGAAAACCACACCCACAAAAGCAGAAGCGCCCAAAACCACACCCCCAGAAGCAGAAGCTCCCAAAACCCCACCCCCACCTTTGAACCGGCTCAGACCTTTCAGGGCATCCCAATCAGATTCTGAGGAGGATGATGATCACTCTGGCGAGGGAATTGCACCGAACCCAAAATATGCAAAGGTTGAGGTCAAAGCAAAGGACAAAAAGGAAAAAGACAAGCGTCCCAAGGCCAAATCCAAACCCAAAATGAAACGACCAGCAGCACATGACGAGGAAGAGACAGAGGAAAACGAGGCTGATCATGATGAGACTGGAACGGAGGATGAAGGGAATGATGAGGATGGCGGCGTTTCCCCAAAACCCACCCGCACACGTCACAGAGGGAGGGGCAGGTCTCGTGGTGGAGGGCGGGGTCGTGGTGGCCGCAAGGGGCGTGGTGGATCAGCAGGTGGCTTGGTATTGGATACGTTGTGTGTTTGATTCAACTTCACAGTGTCTTACAGTGATAAAACTAGTCAAAAATTCAAAAAATCTGTGGTGATGCGAGGTGGCGATACAAAGAGAAAGCAAGGCAAAAAGTCACAGGATGCAGCGGATGCAGTTTGTCCCAAAGATACCGAGAAGACAATTACGGAGGAGATAGATTTTTGTTCATGCTTGTTGTTATGGGTGATGTTTCCCGAAACATGAAATTTCCTTTTTGACATACAGCAACGGTTTGTCTAAGAATGTCTAAGCCTAAGAACACTTGTACTTTGCCATTCCCGGCCACCGCAGGAGGCAGTTGATGAGAAACCTTTCAACCCAGTCAAGAAACGACCTGCAGCTTCTTCATCCGTGAAGGGCAAGCCAGGGGGAAAGAAAAAACCCGCAGGAGTTTTGACACCCTTGGCCCGAGTGAGGAAAGTGAAGAAGGAGAACATCGATGTCCAGAAGAAGGAGAAGTCTCTGTATGATACTGTTTGGCACACAAGTAGCAATACTGGTGATTCTCCGACCATGTCTAGAATCAAAGCTCAAACAGCGAGGGCTGAATTTTGGGCGGACTACTTTCAATTGCCCAAAGAATCTGCAACGGATTTCATTTACTAGTACTAGAAAGCTTGCGGGCGCGGTAGCTGAGACAACAACAGATCCAAACTTGAGACGGGAAAAAACAAATTGGGTGCTGCTGGCTTTCTGTATTGACTTTCAAACATTTTTTGCACTGATTGCCTTTAGCGTGTCCGGTCCTTCATTAGTTTTGAAACGAACCTGTGCCAGGTGTGCTGGGCAAGCCTTGAAGTTCGCCTAGCTGTAAATTGCGTTCGCACTTCTGGTGGATCGATGGGTGGGTAGTTGCCCCAAACATTCATAAGAGATCACCAAAACATGAAATTCTCACAAATGATTTGGAGAGGTTGCCATCTAAGTGCGGTATCCTGTGCACCTGCAAATTAGATCTGATGCTGGCATGTGCAAGCTGACTTTGAGCTGGAAGCAGCCCAAGGACAAAAGAGCAGGTCGGTCATTGGAATTCGGGAACCTTATAATTCCCAACCCTCAGTTTCCAAATGGAGAACCCTTGGTTTGCAGCGTCTGTGATTATATATATATTATATTATGTATATGGACGAAAATCACCATTGTCAATAGGTAAATATAGGTAAATCATCTATAACTTATCTATCTTTCATAGCTATGTTGAGGGTGATTGCCCTTTGAGGGAAATCACCATAGTGCCATGGGCCATTTGACCGGCTCTATTTTTTCCTATTGATAGTTGTATGTTTTCTACTTGCGTCATTTTCTAGTTGCGTAAGTTGTGGCGATAGGATCAGTCCCGATGGTTGCTACCGTGTAGTGACATTCGTCTCATTTTGTGTTGATTTCTTGGGATCTAATCCATAATAATCCATCCATTACCCATGACGGATCCATGGTGCTGCTATATATGGTGTGCCATGGATCCCATCAATATACCCCCTTTATGTTAGCATATATACCAGCACCATGGATCCGTCATGGGTTATTGGGGTCTATTGAACTCTAATCTTATCCAACTTGTGTATCAGTCCGGTCACAATCCATGGATTTTTTTTCGTTAACCAGGCGATGGTTCCTGATCCTGCGTGAAAAACCGTTGGATGACCATGGCAGCCACCTGTGTCCATTCAAAGCATTGGATCAAAGAATATCAAAGACCATTCAAAATATCATTGGATGTCCATGGAAAAAATCATTGATATTCAAGATATTGTATCATTCAAACACCTTTTTGTTGTGTTTTTGTTATTTTCTGTTCCAATATCATTCTCCAATTTTTTTCATGATATCAACATATATTGAATATCATTCAAACACATATATCATTATGATATTCTGTTGGATGAACCTCCAGCATCATCGGCTCCAGGTCGTCTGATGTATGTCCGGGAGTACTACGAAGACATGAACGGACGGGGGCGAAGGTTCTGAGAAAGGCACAAAGGGCGGGGGTTCTGTCAGGTCGGCTGGGTGTTTTTATGCCCTCCTTCTTTGTTGAAAATTGAATATTAATTAAATATACCGGTACTTACCCACAGAGAATTTGGTAGATCAACAGACAGTTCATGGTCATCTCCACATTTTCTTATTTTAAAAGGCCCAAACAAAACCAACCATGAACAGTTGGGTTTGGAAAGGGGAGACTTTGAATATTTAAATAGATTTGCCAGATGAGTTACTCAAATTTATGGCAATTCTAATGGAAAACAATAGTAATACCAGCCGGTTGATGACAATTTCAATGGAGAAAATAATGTTCTATTTTAATCACTTTGGCGTACCCTATTTGAGGGATGTTTTCTGGGGTAGGACTGAAGATAGAACATGGTGATTTGCCATCAGCCGATCCCATTTCTAATGTGGAAATGCCACCAAAACGAAGCCCTGATTAGTGTTTTTTGATGACCTTATATTCTGAGTCACAGATCGATCAAACTTTGGAATTGGAGATTCTACCAGTTTATGGAAGTAAGCAAAAGGAATCAAACGGATGCACAATTCATCATGTTTTCCATTGCCAATTTAGATTACCAGAAGGTATGCCTTTTTAATTTTGGCAGGTAGTTCGCGATTTGTTTAATGCCATATCAGATGTTATTCTTGGATATAAGCGGTCCAATCCAAAGATACTTACTGGGTGGTCATTTTGTAACTATTAACTATCACTGATACATTGGTCACAATGGATGCAATGGAAATCGTGGTAGATGGAGCAGTATCACCAATGTATCAGAAGCCCATGATCACCAACACAGCCAACACATCAACGATGGTGACAAAATGTACTACAAACATGCAAAAACGTGACAAACATCTGTGTAATTGATCAAAATTGAGTCCTGAGCATGAATGCCTTCGGGAATTTGCTGGAAATTCTTAGGGTGCCATCATACTTGGGTTATGAGCCGTTCTATCTTTGTATTTTGCTCCAGCCGGGTGTTTCCATCTCAAAAAGAAAGATGATCCATGGAAGAAGCATCTTTTACTTTGGAGACAGTAATCATTTTTGTTTCGATGTTTCTTGATTAATGTGACATGGTTTGGAAAGAGTTTGATTTCAATGTACCCTCTGGTAAACTAACATAACTATGGAAAATCTTCATTTTTAATGGGTAAATCAACTATAAATGGCAATTTTCAATAGCAAACAATTAGTTTACCAGGGGGTATATTATGATTCCCATCATTGATAGATGATTTTCCACTATATTTTCCCATTTTCCCTATATTCACGATATTTGCTGATATAACCAGAGAGTAGTGCTTTCCAAGCCTTAAATGGGTTCAATCTTTTTCAGACCGTTGGATTCCCCAGGTTCGCCCGCACGTGACCAGGTGCAGATTCGAACAGGTGGACGGAAAAAGATGCGAATGCTTTTCTCACGGTTGAAGCCGCAGAGGGTTCTGAAAATTGGGGTAACCTGAAATACCCTCCGGTTATGACTAACATATATATTGAATAACCAGATGGTATCCCATTATTATCAATTATCCAACCAATTATGAATATGATACATATTTACAACTATAACCATTAAAATCATTCATAAACCAGCACTTTTCCAATGGTTATCTGGTTGGTGATTTGGAACATGCATTTTATTTTTCCAATTGGGAATAATAATCCTATTTGGCATTCATATTTTTCAAAAGGAATAGGTATATTACCAACCAGAAATTTATTTCATGATCAAAAAAAATTAATGGACCATTAACACTAAACCAGAAGGTTCATTTGAAACTATAGTATATTACAAAAAAAAAATATCTGACGGAAAGGAATTAATCTGAATAAATTATAACGATATTATAAAATAGATAATAATCCAAAAATCCGCCCGCACCGAAGGTACTGGGGCGTGATCTTCCGGATGGCACTCGTAAAAGGTTACAGGTTTACCTGGGGGGGGGGCATTTTTCGGCCAAAACCTCTTGTTTTTGATAGGTCGTGACGCTCGCCTTTAAAAAACACTGTAAAAAACAGTACGGAAGACACCTGTTCGTGAATGCGCCCGTCCAAAATCGGCAAGCGAAAAGTGAAAAAAACTCGTGTTTTTCAACTTTTTGACCTTAATTTTTTGGTTTGCAACATCTTTTTTTGCGGTTCCGCAGGTGGCCAGGCCCGGAGGCGGATTTTTGAGTTTTTGGACCCGTTTTCGGACTGATTTTCGTCGTTTTGTGATAGCAGAAACACTGGTTTTTACAGAGTTTTTCTGTTTTCTGCATGCTTGACGGCTACCTTTAAAACTTCCAAAAACCTCGTAAATTACGCTGTTTTATGTTACGGTATGAATGAAAACATCATAAATACCAGTGTTTTTTGATGTTGGTTAAAAAAACACTATAAATTACAATGTTTTTGGCTACCTGACCCTCAAAAACCATGGTATTTGCAGTGGTTTCTGCTTCTCACCGCGCAAAAATACTGTAAATAACAGCAATTTCGCCGTTTTTTCATGTTTTTCGTTATTTTTTGAAGTGCGTTGGTCCGCTATACATGGCTATCAAATTCTTCGCGTTTTTTTTTCCGACAATCAGTACTTTCGGATGTTTTTGGTCTCAATGGCCGACATCATTGGCAGTTACGAGCGGCTGCCCAACGATGCGGTGCGGGCGGTTGCCGTCGCGAAGCGACGTAAATATTTCTAAATTGGATAAAAATCAAATAAATTAATTATATAATTTT